ACATAGGCATACCTATGTGTTATGGGCAGACCTATATGTGTAATGGGCAGACCTATATGTGTTATGGGCATACCTATATGTGTTATAGGCATACCTAAATGTGTTATGGGCATACCTATATGTGTTATGGGCATACCTATGTGTTATGGACATACCTATATGTGTTATGGGCATACCTATGTGTTTTGGGCACACCTTTATGACTTATGGGCATACCTGTGTGTTATGGACATACCTATGTGATTTGGGCACACCTTTATGACTTATGGGCATACCTGTGTGTGTTATGGGCATACCTATATATGTTATAGGCATACCTATATGTGTTATGGGTGGTTGTTGGTTTTCCGTATTGCTTACTATAACATAGCAGTGGCTGTTGTTGGTCTTCTGTTGTTGCTGCCACAGGTGATATGCTCACCCCCACCGGTCCTATTTCATTCATTCAGGTGCACGGCATAGGACAGGCAATGGAGGCAGTGGACATCACAGACGACACCAACATGTTACGTGGACGTATGCACGCCATGGCCACTCGCTTCCACAACAACCTGCATGGCAAGTTCTTGGTCATACCGGTCCAGGTGTGTGATGACTCGGGTACACTGTACCTGTCTAGGGGTTTAGAGGTTTAGAGTTTAAATGTCTGGTCATTTAGTTGTATGTTACGTGGACGTATGCACGCCATGGCCACTCGCTTCCACAACAACCTGCATGGCAAGTTCTTGGTCATACCGGTCCAGGTGTGTTATGACTCAGGTGCACTGTACCTGTCTAGTGTTTTAGAGGTTTAGGGTTTAAATGTTTGGATATTTAGATGTATGTAACGTGGACGTATGCACGCCATGGCCACTCGCTTCCACAACAACCTACATGGTAAGTTCTTGGTCATACCAGTCCAGGTGTGTAATTTAGGGTTTAAAGGATTGGACATTTAGTTCTAGGTGGAGTGCGAGTGTGGGGTGTTGTCTTAAGTTTCACGGTATGGATTGAATGGCGACCATGACTTAGGTGCACTGTACCTGTCTAGGGTTTTAGGGGTCTAGGGTTTAAGGGTTTGGACATATAGTTCTAGGTGGAGTGCGAGTGTGGGGTGAGGTCTTGGGTTCACGGTATGTATTGAATGGTGAGCCGATGGGAGATGGACTGCAGTTGTTGTTTTGTTGTGGTAGTGTCATGTGTCGAGATGGGAGTGTGGGGTTCAGAGATGTGGTACATGCTTCGTGTGTGTATGTGTTGCATAGTTGATGAGTCATCTGTATATAACGTAATAAATATTCATTCGCACTTTATGCGGAATGTCGGGCTCGTGAGCATGAATATATATATCTATTATATATATATATATATATATATATATATATATATATATATATTCACACTCCATATATATATATATATATCACACTCCATATATATATATATATATCACACTCCATATATATATATATATATCACACTCCATATATATATATATATATCACACTCCATATATATATATATATATCACACTCCATATATATATATATATATCACACTCCATATATATATATATATATCACACTCCATATATATATATATATATCACACTCCATATATATATATATATATCACACTCCATATATATATATATATATCACACTCCATATATATATATATATATCACACTCCATATATATATATATATATCACACTCCATATATATATATAGATGCGCACACGCACGTACTTAAATGATTACGCAAAGGTATTTCTGAGTACGCACGACTACGTCCGCCATCTCATACAACACGCCATTTGCAGTGGAGGAAAGGTCTGCAGTTCAACTCAGAGAATGAAACGTCCATCGACGACATCACTGTGGATGGCTGCAGGGGCCTACGGGAGATGATTCATTCAACGGGTGTGTGTGTGTGTGATATAGTGAGATGATTTATTCAACAGGTGTGTGTGTATGATATAGTGAGCTGGTTTATTCAACGGGTGTGTGTGTGTGTGATATAGTGATATATTTTATTTAACGGGTGTGTGTGTATGATATAGTGATATGATCCATTCAACGGGTGTGTGTGTGTATGATGTAGTGATATGGTTTATTCAACTGGTGTGTGTGTGTGTGATATAGTGATATGGTTTATTCAACGGGTGTGTGTGCGTGCGATATAGTGATATATTTATTTAACGGGTGTGTGTGGGTATGATATAGTGATATGATTTATTCAACGGGGGTGTGTGTGTAGGATATAGTGATATGATTTATTCAACGGGCGTGTGTGTGTATGACATAGTGATATGATTTTTGCAACGGGTGTGTGTGTGTGTAATATAGTGATATGATTTATTCAACGTGTGTGTGTGTGTGATAGTGATATGGTTCATTCAACGGGTGTGTATGTGTGTGATATAGTGAGGTGACCCAAGCACTGGTTATGTATATACTGCAAGCATAGTACACACCAATTGAGTTGTGTGATTGCCTGCATGTGTGCTGAGTCGTAGGGTTTTACTAAAACCCTACAACCCACTTTTACACACCCCTCTCAAACACACTAACACGCCCCTCTCACACCCACTGTACACAGCCCTGGACGTGCTCTTCTACACTAACCCGCGCACGTGCCAACTAATCTTCAGCGAACTCGGCACACGACTGCTGGAACTACACGAGAAGTTCACCCTCAGACACCCCGGGTTTGTAGGCAGGGGGGGCAAGGTGAGTGCAGACGTAGGACTACTGAATGTACACGTACACGTACACTCACACATGCTCATGTACATGCACTTACACTCACACATGTACATATACATGCACATGCACATATCACCCTCAGACACCCCGGGTTTGTAGGCAGGGGGGGCCAAGGTGAGTGCAGGCGTAGGACTACTGAGAGAGAATACGAGGTACACATACACTCACACATGCACATATACATGCACACGCACATGCACATATACATGCACACGCACATGCACATATACATGCACACGCACATGCACATGCACATGCACACATCACCCTCAGATACCCCGGGTTTGTAGGCAGGGGGGGCAAGATGAGTGCTAGCGTAGGACTACTGAGAGAGAATACGAGGTACACATACACTCACACATGCACATATACATCCACACGCACATGCACATGCACATATCACCCTCAGACACCCCGGGTTTGTAGGCAGGGGGGGCAAGGTGAGTGCAGGCGTAGGACTACTGAGAGAGACTATGAGGTACACATACACGTACACTCACACATGCACATGCACAATCACATACACATGCAAAGTCGATGGCAATAGCTCAGCCGTACGTCTGCATATAGTAGATGACTACTGGGGCTTGAAGGCGGCGGTAGTATATACAGGTACTCGTGCCCTTGCATCTGAAGTACTTCGATTTCAATCCTGTGGTTGAAACAAATTTTTTCCCCGATATTTCTGTTAAAACTTGGGGTTATTTCTTCTCCCAACCGCCGTTAAACAAACAGTTTTCAATCTTTGGGCATAGTTTGGGGTCAGTGCTGTCGTATGATCTGCTGAGCCATCAACACGGCGGTGTGAACATAGACACGTCCAAAGGTACGCAGCACTACAGGGTTTTACGGTTTTCAGGGTTTAGTCGATACTTATTTCTACAACAACTGGCCATGTCAGTCAATTAGTGTTGAGTTATAAGAAGCACTATGTGTATAAGACACAATACTAGTAGCTATGTGTATAAAGTATAGTACTAGTTATGTGTATAAGACACAATACTAGTACTCATGTGCATAAAGTATAGTACTAGTTATGTGCATTAAGTATAGTACTAGTTATGTGCATAAAGTATAGGACTAGTTATCGTGCATAAAGTACAGTACTAGTTATGTGCATAAAGTATAGTACTAGTTATGTGCTTAAAGTATAGTACTAGTTATGTGCTTAAAAGTGTTGAGTTATAAGAAGCACTATGTGTATAAGACACAATACTAGTAGCTATGTGTATAAAGTATAGTACTAGTTATGTGTATAAGACACAATACTAGTACTCATGTGCATAAAGTATAGTACTAGTTATGTGCATTAAGTATAGTACTAGTTATGTGCATAAAGTATAGGACTAGTTATCGTGCATAAAGTACAGTACTAGTTATGTGCATAAAGTATAGTACTAGTTATGTGCTTAAAGTATAGTACTAGTTATGTGCTTAAAGTATAGTACTAGTTATGTGCTTAAAGTATAGTACTAGTTATGTGCATAAAGTATAGTACTAGTTATGTGCATAAAGTATAGTACTAGTTATGTGCATAAAATATAGTACTAGTTATGTGTATATGATATAATACTAGTAGCTAGGTGCATAAATTAGAATACTAGAAGCTATGTGCATAAATTATAGTACTAGTTATGTGTATATGATATAATACTAGTAGCTATGTGCATAAAGTATAGTACTAGTTGTGTATATGATATAATACTAGTAGCTATGTGTATAAAATATAGTACTAGTACTAGATTGTTGGTGGCAGACGCTTGCGATGAGCCTGGCAAACCCAATAACCCAACCACACCTCATCCCGAACTGTCCAATGAAAGTACGCCAACTGTGAGGTCTATACGATCCCATACAACTGACATGCATGCGCTGACCAATCATACCGCGTCTATTTATAGATACTACTCCTGTAACGGCCACTGAATTGGCGGAAACCATTCCGTCGGAGTACCTCGTGGACTGCGCCACAGACTCAGACGAACTGCGCAATGCCAAAGAGCAGATCAGAAAATTCAAAGCAACGGTCGACAACGATTTAATAGCCAGACAACAGCGTATGTGTTAACAACCGAAACACACAGCATGTATATATATATATATATATATATATATATGATGTGTGTGTATATGTGTGTGTTTGCGTGTGAGAGAGTGTGTGTTTGTGTGTATCACGACAAGTACCAGCCTGTCAAGGAAGACAACTATCAACAGCGAAACCCAATTCAGATGCCACTTTAGCAGTGCAGCGCATACTGTATGATAATCCTCTCCACAGGTCTTGTTTAATGTGAGTGAGTGTGCATGTCACGTTGTCATAGCAACGGCACCACAGCCACCAAGTGCCCCAACAGACAACCCACACACGCCCTTCGGGGAAGATGACTACAGCACTACTACTACGTAGCACTCACGCATATATCACCTCAGCAGCACTATGTATGGGATATGGAATATTTACCTACCCAACACCGTTCATGCAACTACCTGTGCATAACAAGTATCTGCATGTGGATAAAACGTACCCTACATGTGCTTATTAATATCTACTTAACAAGTATCTGCATGTATTATACATCGTCAAGAGAAACCACAGTGTTCTTGGCGCTCGTTGTACATACGTATACCGGCTTGAGTACTCGTCGTACGTGACTGTAAACATACCTACTTGTTAATATCATGTATCGACATGTACATAACATATACCTACTTGTTAATATCATGTATCTACATGTACATAACATATACCTACTTGTTAATATCATGTATCTACATGTACATAACATATACCTACTTGTTAATATCATGTATCTACATGTACATAGCATATACCTACTTGTTAATATCATGTATCTACATGTACATAGCATATACCTATTTGTTAATGTCATGTATCTACGTGAACATAACATGTACTTGTTAATGTCATCTATCTACATGTAGATAATATATACCTACTTGTTAACATCATCTATCTGTATGTACATATCATAGACCTACTTGTCAACATCATCTATCCACCTGTGCATACCATCCCATTCCACCCCCACAGGAATACAACCACCCCCTCCCGCAACCAACGACCCATTCCCTGGCTGTGCAGACGACAGCAGTTCACTGCTCCTGCCACCCACCCACGCCATAGGCACAGGCACACACCGCATCACCTATGACGTGCAGTACCCACAGCTGCCGTTTGAGGTCGACACACTCATCCTCAGCGGCAGTCCCATTGCGGTGTTTATGCAGGTGAAGCAGCTCAGGCTGAAGGTATGGGAGAGGCGCGTGTGGGGGTGAGGGTGGCATTGTGTATGTGAGTGCTAATACACTACACATGACCGTTGTGCTATGAACGGTATCTGTCCACATACGAGACGCCTCTGCTCAGGGCTGTGTTACACGTGAATGAGTCATGTCCACTTTTGTGGCATTTTATAACCCACTCAGAACCTCTCCTGCGACGGCCCTTAGTCGACACAAAAGGTGCGATGTCCCAAACGAGCACTGCGGGTTCATTTAGGGTGCAGGGTCTAGGGTTTTAGTCGTGGTTGTTGTACCTACCTGTACTACCCTGCTGTAGTGCCTGGGCCTTGCGGTCATTGCCCCAGTATATTGATTGGTTCACGTCCCTGGGTTTTAGGGTTTGTCCTTGGCTCAATATTGTACCGAAGGTTTATTATACGATACGCCGACGGGCATGTACTCCCGCGGAATGGAATGGTGACGTACGTTCTTATGCTCGATTGATTGTGACCTATACGCTTTGGGACAATACGTTAATGTTTGATGAGCTATCGACACCTCCGATCGCATACAATTGGGACCACATATTGCACGTGCATCTATATCCATCATCAGGTCATTCGGGAAATTTTGTATTGTAAATTCCCATCATGTCATATTCTATTTATATATATATATGTAGATGTATATCTTCGCATATTGCCCATTTACAGAAAGGCAACACCAACAGTCTGCAGTCTACCGGGGCCCGACCATTGGTCTGTAAACTATATAACTTATTCTACCCGTACGACCCTGTGGCTTACCGATTAGAGCCGCTCCTTGACAGTACGTTATCTATTTGAATTACGTTTTTCAGCATTATAGTCCGTTTCTTGCTCTACGATGGTGCGCTTGTTCTACTGGGGGTAGTATCTGTGTCCTGCATTATCTTCTGGGCCATATCGAGTACAATACGTTTTGGGATCGCAGTATCTATCCATTCTCCTGTTTGCCTTCACCAGATAGTTGTAGTCACTTGCCTGTTGTTGTTTAACCAAGTAAATCTCGCGTGAGCAAGGGCCGTGTGCGTGCACACACTTTCTGAGCATGCATTCGGCAGTCGTCTATGTCTGTCTCTGCGGCATGGGGTTTGTCGTCCGTTTGCGTCTGAAAGTATAGTCGTCGCATCGCGTACCTTCGTCGTTGTATTGATCGTGCGTGCGGCACAGCTGATCCTATCGCACCCGCAGTTCAAGTGGTGCCTGTTATGTGATAGAGTGTGTGGGTGCATGGTGTGTATGATTGAATGACATATACGTTGATTTAGGTTCCTTGCTATCATCCAATGGTTGCCATGGCGACACTTGAGCTGTCTCTGACTTATGACTGGCAGGAGCACGTGGGCTATGCGTTGCTTGTGGCTGAGGATTTCTCAGCTGCTGAGCTCAATGCCTAAGCTAATAGATACACAGACGCCTTAGACCCATTCAGATCCACCTCACAAGACATAACCCAAGATGGCCATACCCTAAAACTCTATACTCTACAACCACACCCGTTAATTGTACACCTACCTACTAAAAGCCCCAATACTAAGCCAATAGATACACAGACGCCTTAGACCCATTCAGATCCATCTCACCAGACTGGACATACCCTCAACCCCTATACTCTAACCCACACCCTTTAATTGTACACCTGTCTACCCCAAGACCTGCGTTCCAACCATACGATACTTCTGTCCAGTTGCCATAGCAACAGATACCTACATGCCTGCTCTGACACTCGTGCTGAGCGTCAAGATAGCCTCGACTGGGAGGTCAGTCGTAGCAGTTGCCCACTTCACACTCCTTTACGGGGGACTTGTCCAGGAGTTTATACCTACACATACCCACTGGAATATATAATTACACGCACCTACCAGAATTGGTACCTACACGCAACTACTAGAAATAGTACCTACACGAACCTACTAGAATTGGTACCTACACGCACCTACTAGAATTGGTACCTACACGCACCTACTAGAATTGGTACCTACACGCACCTACTAGAATTGGTACCTACACGCACCTACTAGAATTGGTACCTACACGCACCTACTAGAATTGGTACCTACACGCACCTACTAGAATTGGTACCCACACGCACCTACTAGAATTGGTACCTACACGCACCTACTAGAAATGGTACCTACACCCACCTACTAGAATTGTTACCTACACCCACCTACTAGAATTGGTACCTACACCCACCTACCGGACTGTATCAGAACCGTTGCATCCCACGGATTTGACCAATATCACTGATGCCACACTATTCAATATCTATCGTATAGTCACACCCATTCAATGTCAACCAACCCTAAACCCCTATAGCCCAGCTGTTAAATACTCTGAACCCATTCATAGCCTCCTAAACTATTTACCAGGAGGCTATGACCCATTCCAAAGAACAAACCCTAAACTCTAGCCCCATTTCAACCCAGCCCCGCCCCATTTCTCACAGGTTTTTCCCCATCCCCCCTCCTCCCCACCACACCCCCACAGGCAGTTTCCGGTCCACCCGACCGTCCATAGTGTACTACTACGCGGGTGGGCTGAGACTACACACCGCTGTGTCGCAGACGGTCGAAGGACTGGGTCAGAACATCCTGGGTGCTAAGCTGGTCATGGACAAGGGCTTCGCACAGGTATGTATGCCAAGCAGTGGCCACCCGATACTCGTGCAGTGAGGTACGGGCTTCTCGCCGCCTCAGTTTAGACTGATATGAAACGATACGAATGATACGATACGAACCGCTTGTGAGGTGCAATTTTTTTTTGTTCTTATTATATATGCGACTCACAAGGACAATACATTACATTATTGACAATACGAACCCTAAGCCATGTCATCCCGTTCCCAACTGTTCTTTTTATATATGTGACTCACAAGGACAAGGACAATACATTTCATTACTGACAATACGAACCCTAAGCCATATCATCTCGTTTCAACTGTCAGATTGCCAAAAGCATGACATTCAATATGGGCGCCTCAAAGGAGAAGGAGCTGGAGCTCAAGCGCAACAGAACCGCCGATCTCGAGAGGTGAGTTCATATCATCCACACTCCCATGCCTGACCCAATGCTGCTGTTGTTGTGTGTGTGTTATGTGTTTCATTTACACTCATGACTCACCCACTGCACTGCTTGTTGTGTCGAGTGTAGGCCGTTTATACTGTGCTGCTCCCGTTCTCAAGTCCTTTATTGATGGCACACAAGCCTTTCCCCGTGGTGCATGGGAGTGTAATTGATCCTGGTATCGTCTTAGTAGTTGAGTTGAGAATGCAATTCTTCAAGTGTTTTCACGCACTCCTTTGCACACAGATTAAAACGGGTACAGCAGGAGGAGCAGTTGCAATTGGCTCAGTCTATCTTGCAGACTGCCAATCCGGATAAAAGGTACTTACAAGACTTTTGGCTATATATATATATATATATATATATATATATATATATGTGTGTGTGTGTGTATTATATATATATATATATATAGTGTGTGTGTGTTATAT